CCAGGGCTCAGTTTAGATCCAACAGAGAAAATAGGATAAAATACCATTTGATCCCTCAACTTTTCACTTTGGTCCAAAATTATCTCTCAACTTTAAAAAATATCAAAATTATCTTTAAACTTTCATTTTCAATACTAAAATAATCCTTCTATCAGTTAAATGGAGGCATCGTGACACATTAAATTGTTATAATATCAATCTTTATATATTTTTTAAAATGATGTGTAAACTAAAACATTTTTTTATTTATAATTTCATATTTTTACTATTATTTCACAATTTTTCATCGACAATTTGCCTCTCATTGTTTAAAAAAGAAAAAAAAAAAAACTTCATCTTCTTTCTTTTCCTCTCTCAATCCTTCGACAATTTGCCTCCTCATTTATTTATCAACTTTCCTTTTTCCTTTCCCTATTGATCCCTCTTCTTTCTTCTTCTTATTCTTTCTCTTTTTCTTCATCCTTCTTTGTCCTCTCTTCCTTCCTTACCAATTTGTTAGGTTCTCAACTAAAATCTGGGTTTTCTCAAAACTCAGATCTAGGTTCTCAAACCAACCCAAATTTAGTTCTTAAAACAGGGTAAGAGAAATTGGAAATCGATTGTTTAAGAGAGGATCCATGAGTGGAGGTGGAATCGGATCTCAATAGCTTGTTCAAGAAAGGAAGACTCGATCTGATGCGCCCTGCCATCGCCATTTCTCCTCCTTCTTCGGATGATTCTATGGAACAATGGAAAAAAGGAGAAAGCAAGATTTGAAGAAAAGATGGAGACGCTATGTTGTTCATCAATGATTTTCCTGCGAATTATGGGAGCCAATTTTGTTGCTATGATCCCAATCGATTTCCAGTTTCTCTTGCCTTGTTTCGATTTTTTTTTTTTTTTTGGGTATTTATAGATCTAGGAAAGAGAGAGAAAGTAGACAAAAAAAGGGAGATATTTGGGATTAGAGAAAATTGATGGATTTGTTGGATTATAACTAGAAAATTAACAAAGAAAATAAGAAGCAACGAGCAAACTAAGGCTAGTTCAGCAAGCCTGAGAAAACCATATCTAGGTTTGAGAACACCCATAATAAAAAATCTCCGCAGCTCCTACGATCAAAACCAAACAAAATTAAGCAAAAAGGAGAAAATATTAGAAAGAATCAACAAGTAAAAGTACTGAAAACCACATGCGTAGCAACCAGGTCCGGCGAGGCTGATGGCAAAAGTAGCAGAAGGTTTGGCGTGAACGATGACAAGCTTGAACAAGGCAGTGTCACATAGAGGAACAAAGAAGTGACCGAGCATCCACTCCAGTGCGTAGGCGCTGTGCTTGCTATCGTCAACGGCCACAGTCATTACTTGCTTCTCTGCCATTTGAGAAAACCCAGAGGCTGGGTTTTGCAGAGCAGTAGAGGTAAGGGAAAAGGAAAGGTAAAGGAGAGAGAAAGTGAAAGAGGAAGAAGAGAATTTTTTTTTCTGACCTGGATGAAAAAAAAAATGTCATTCTTTTTAAATTAAATAAAAATGTTAACTTATAAAAAAAAATGATCAATTATATTTTTTTATTCATGTCATTAATTAAGAAAAAAATAATTTTTTAGTAAATTAATGTGTTATTTATTTATTTGACTATCGTTTTAGTATTAAAAATAAAAATTTATGATATTTTTTTAAAATTAAAAAATAATTTTAATATCAAAATAAAAAGTTGAGGAAATAAAATAATATTTTAATTAAGAAAATATTCTTTATTTTTCTTCTTGTGTTTCTCTTTTCTCATGCAAATGTGCCAAATTATTATTATTTTTAACAAATTACAATTTACAAGTGAGATTCGAATCTTAATTTTAAAAGTAAGAGATGCACCATCTATGAAATATAAAATTATTAGGTAATGTGACTCAAGTATTGGTATTGTTATTATTTTTTTTTTTATGGATTTATTGTTATTATTATTATTATATAAAAATTAATTAAAAAAATATTACTAGATTAATTAAGTTATTCACGCGTTTTAATTAATGAGGCAGCATGTAATTACATGAGATACTCGTCACGAAACCGAAAATCAGTGAATACATTTCGTCACAAAAAATTTACTTTCATTTAGTGTAAAAGGTTTTCAGTTCTCAACCTGCTGCAACGGTTGCATTAAAGACCTGCTCCTGCAGACCCCCATCTCATCTGGTGCTCACGCTGCGTTTGAGCAGCAGGTGGACTGTACTCATTTTTAGATTTGACATTTTTACATTTGACATTTTTAC